TGTCCCTCTCTAGTCAAATTAAAATAAATAAATAAATAAAGTTAAATAAAATAATTCTTTCAAATAAATAAATAAAAGCTAGGGTAGAGTCAGCAGGTGGAGGTTAAGGCACTGGATCCCATGTGGCCAGCTTTGTGGTTCAAGTCACACCAGCGGCTGGACAATCATGCCTGCTCCTGTGTATGGATGCCCAAACTCCGAGAGTGAAGGATAGGGATTGTGGTGTGGCCATGGAGGGGGTTTGATCTCTTACTTTCCCTCTCTGTCTCTGTCAAGTGCATGTGCATTAGAGCAAAAACAAAACCCCAAAACTTAGGTATCCATAATTTTGTATTTTCAAGGAGTGCCTGTATAAGAGTGAGTGTCCAACAGTGTATCAAAAGCTTATAAAGGTGTGGGTCTGTTTAAGTTTTAATGAACAGGTGTCAATTTTGTAATAAATAATGATCGAGGTTTTTGTTTTAGCTCTAAATCAGGGATGTGAAAGAGAAAGGGGTGGTGGTGGGGGGGGGGTTGGGGGGGGGGTTGGCGGTTTCCCAGCAAGGCCCAAAGCAAGGGAGTGGACCCGGAGGAAGGGCAGTAAACGGGGTAGCGGGTGGCCCGTACGGATGGAGAGAAGGGAAAACCGTGGCTGAGGCCGCCAGGCACTCGCTGAGCCCGAGCAGCGACCAGGTGCTGCGGGCGGGGCCTGCTCTGCAGCTGATTGGGTCAGGACGCCTTGAAGATTCGGCAGATGTTCCCCAGGAGAGAAAAAGGGGTCGCAGGGGCCGGCCCGAGCGGGGCGAGAGGGGTCGCGGACAGGGCGAGAGCCCGCTTGGCACACCTGGGTGCTGAATCAACCCTCCTGGGCGAGGCGAGCGAGGAGGCCGGACGAGGGGCGAGCGGAGGGCCGGGGGGAAAGGTAAGAGTGGCAGGACCAAGTCTCTCTAGGACAGCGGGGTCCCCGCAATCAGTCGCCCCCGCACACGTGACGTCCCTCTCCCCATGATCTCTCTCCATCCACACTGGACACTCCCTGCCCCGCGCGCAATCCCAGTACAAGACCTCGCCCACCCCTGAGCCTCACTTACCTGTGGCCTCAGACCTGGCCAGAACACCTGCGGCACCTCACGCTTCAAGAGCTGGAACCTCTGCGGCCGCCTGCGCGCACCCACCCGGATCCACTAGGGCCGAAACCACTTCCGGTCCTGAGGCGGGCTAGCGGGAACTACCCCCATCTGGGGAGTGAGAATGGGCGATGCCATCTTGTACGGAAGCTGCGGGGGCAGCTGTTGCCTCCCTAGTTTCTCCACAGTTGAACAAAGAATCTGCCGAAATTGGGAAGACCAAATATTTCTTCAGAAACGCGATGCTTTTGTTTATGGGATGGTATTTTTGTTCTTTTGGTTTTGGTTTTGGTTTTGAAGGGAGACGCCTCTAGGATCTTTACAAATGTAATATGGGACATCTGATTTTCATTCCTTATTATCCTGGGTGGTTCTCTGTTACATTAATTTTCTTAACTGTTAAATGGTGATGGTAAATTGGAGACACACCATGTTTAAATAATATGTTCCTCAGGACTAGCAATTCGCATAATAGCTATGTCGCTGGATTCCCATGTAGTGGACCCAGGTTGGAGTCCAGGACCAGGTGGCTTAAACTCACGGTGGGCGCGTGTGCGTGCGTGCCCAAGATCCTGAGAGGAGAATGGAGGAGAAGGGATTGTGGCGTGACCATCCCCCCCCCCGAGGGTGGGGGGGATGATTTGTGGCTTTCTGTCTCTGTCTTTCTGGCGAGCCCACACACCCTATAGCAAAAACCTCTCCAAAAAAAAGTACTGTCTCCAACCAGTCCTTTTTTTTTTTTTTTTTGGAGAGGTTTGCGCTATAGGGCGTGTGGGCTTGCCAGACAGACAGAGAGAGAGAGAGAGAGAGACAGAAAGCGAGAAAGCACCCCCCAGGGGGGATGGTCACGCCACAATCCCTTCTCCTCCATTCTCCTCTCAGGATCTTGGGCACGCACGCACACGCGCCCGGCGTGAGTTTTAAGCCACCGGGTCCAGGATGCGAACCGCGATCGACTACGTGGGAGTCCAGCGACATAGCCATTATACTAACTGCTGGTCCCAAAAAGCACTTTCTTATGTGGGACAACTAGTGTGTGCTATTTGCTGTTCCTTTGTTACAAGTTATGGAAAAAAAGTCAGAAAACTGAGATGTGCATGCATAACCAATTAGATATAAAATAGCTGCCATTTGTACTCAACAGTTTGCTAGGAACTTTACAAAGCGTTTTGCTTACCTTGTCTCACTTAATCTTTATAATATCCTCATGAGGCAGTGCTTTTGTTAGTGTCATTCTACACAAAATGGAGAAAGGTTAAGTAACTTTCTCAAGGTAACTCAGCAAGGAAGCAATAGAGCTAGGAGTCAAACCTCAATATGTCTAATTGCAGAGCTTATTGCCTTCCTGTTCTATATATGTGACCCCCAAACAGGAAAAGGTTCTAAGTTCCATTAGATAAGTACCAGCAGATGGCATAATGGTTATGTTGTGGACTTCCATGTGGTCAATATCAATTGTGGTTCAAGATCCAGACCTGGCAGCTTAAAACACGCTGGGCATGTGAGGGCATGGCCAAAATTTCAAGACGAAGTTGGAGGAGAAGGGATTGCAACATGGCCATCTCCCCTGGGGGGTGATTTCTTACTTTCTATCTCTCCAGCAAGTGCACAAGCCCTGTAGGAAAAATCTCTCTTAAGAAAAAAAAAAAAAAAGAAAAAAAGAGTCCATTAATTAAGTATCAACAAAGGAGAAATGTCCAGCAAATAGAAAGAATTAAACCCCTCCATTTGTATCTGCTCTTTCTTGAAACACCTAAAAAAAAAAATAAAGAGGAAATATAGGGGCCAGCAGGTGGCATGGTGGTTAAGTACACTGGACGCCCACTTGGTCAACCATGGTTCAAATCCCAGACCTGATGGCTTGCTTTTTCTCTTTCTCGCTCTCTGTCTCTTTCTGGTCAAATTAAAATAATAAAGATGATGAATAAAATAGAATAATTCGTTTTTTAAAAAAAAGAAAGTGCAAATTAAAACCATAATAAGATACTATATGTGCCCCCCAACAAAGGCCAGAATGAAAAAAAAAAAAAAACCAAAAAACTGTGTATTGACAAGATTTCTTTTTTTGGGGGGGGAGAGATTTTCACTGTAGGGCGCGTGCACTTGCCAGACAGACAGAGAGAGACATAGAGACAGAAAGTGAGAAATCACCCCCCAGGGGGGATGGTCATGCCGCAATCCCTTCTCCTCCATTCTCCTCTCGGGATCTTGGGCACGCACACACACGCGCCCGGCGGGAGTTTTAAGCCACCGGGTCTGGGACACGAACCGCGGTCGACTACGTGGGAGTCCAGCAACATAGCCATTACACTAACTGCTGGTTCCCTGTATTGACAAGATTGAGGAGCAATGAAAACTCTCCTATGCTCGGAAGGGAACAGAAATGGTGCTCACTTCGGCAGCATCCCCACTAAAGGAAGGGAACAGAAACTGATTTCTCACTTTCTGTCTCTCTCTCTTTCTAGCAAGTGCACGTGCCCTATAGCAAAAACCTCTCCCCCACAAAAGATAATTGATTTTAAGGCTGGCAGGTGGTGCAGAGATTAAGGCAGCTGGACCCCACATGTCCAACTCCATTGTTTAGATCCCAGACCCGGGAGCCTAAAAAACATTTCAAGTCCATGTCCATGCATGCCCAAAACGCCAAGAGTAGAATGGAGAAGGGATTGCAGGGTGGCCCTACCACCCGGAGGGTGATTTCTCACTTTCCCTAACTCTCTTTCTCTCTCCTCTGTGTCTCTCTCCAGCGAGTGCATGCACCCTATAGCAAACTGAGAATAAATTAAAAAGAAAGTTAATTTTGATCTGGGCCAAGGAGCAACTTTCTACAAATTGTAAAATACTACTATCATACAGATCACATTTTTTGACCACATTACAATTAAGTTAGAAATTAATAAAATTATTTTAAAAGTTGCATCTATTTAGAAAAACTTTTTAAAAATCTAAATAATTGGCTCCAGCAGGTGGCATGGTGTTTAAGGCAGCTGGGTCCCACATGGCCAACTACATGGCTCGAGTCCTGAACCTGGTGGCTTAAAAATCATGTCAGGTCTGTGTGCCCAAAATCCTGAGAGGAGAATGAAGGAGAAGGAATTGCAAAGTGGCCATCCTCCTGGGGGTAGGGGGTGACTTCTCTCTCTCTATCTCCCTACCCCCCCACTCTCAGTGAGCACACACCATATAGCAAACTATAAAAAAATAAATAAATAAATAGGGACCAGCAGTTACTGTAATGGCTATGTCATTGGACTCCCATGTAGTCAACGGCAGTTCAAGTCCAGGACCCGGTGGCTTAAATTCAACGCCGGGCACGTGTGCATGCGTGCTGAAGATCCCAAGAGAAAAGTGAAGGAGAAGGGATTGTGGCATGGCCATCCCCCTTGGGGGGTGATTTCTCGCTTTCTGTCTCTCTGTCTCTGTCTTTCTGGCGAGCGCACGTGCCCTATAGCAAAAACCTTTCAGAAAAAAAAAAAAAAACCTAAAACTCACTTCCTACCTAATTGTATAATAATTTTGTACAGTCTAAGCATGCTCTTTCTGTATCCCTCTCCAGGCTACCCTTCCCACTCTCTAGTAACCACAAGTCCACATTCTACGTCTGTGAGATCAGCTTGCGTTAGTTTTCACATTTGAGTGAGAACATGTGGTACTTGTCTTTGTGCATCTGACTTTACCTCACTTAACATAATGGCCTCCACTATCCACAAGACATGGATCAAAACCAAGTGTCGGTCAATGAATGACAGATAAAGAAAATATATGTATGAATACCACATTTACACACACAGTAGAATATTACCCAGCCGTAAAAAGGATGAAAGACTGAAATGGACCAAAAGATTGTGGGGAAATGGAAACTGCATTATTTCAAGCATAGACTTTCTGCTTATCAGATGCTATGCAGTGTGTACCTTTCATTGTCTCTGAGCTAATAAACGACTCTAAAGAGATACTAGCTAACGTACAAAATTGATAGGGATATAATAACTCTCGACTTTACACGTGCAAACAGAGTCTGTTCCATGAAATTTCTGTTGGCTTTCTGCCTTTGCTGTGGGATAAGGTAGCTTTGCATTTTTTGAGAAAACTTATTTTAGCATTTCTGATGGGTTTATATTTATCTTTTATCTATATTTTAATTTTTCTTTGTTTTTAAAAATCTTTAGAATTACTTTTTAATTTAACTTTATTTATTTATTTATTTATTTATTTATTTGCCCAGAGAGGGACAGAGAGAGAAGAGAGAGAGTGAAAGTGAGAAAGTGAGCCTCCAGGTCCGGGACTTGAACTGTGGTCGGTCGGCCCTGTGGGAGTCCAGCATCCCCAACCACCACGCCACCTGCCGGCCCCAATTTCTATTTTAATTTTTCTTTTTACTGATTATACCATCATTTTCCAGTTCCCTCATTAATTAGTGAGTTAAAGAAAATCGTTGACTCACATTAATTTTCTATGTGCATATGAGTCATGATGCATTTTCTTATTCATTTTTTTAAAGAATTATTTTATTGAACTTTATTTATTTTAATTTGAACAGATAGGGACAGAGTGAGACAGAGAAAGAGAGATGAGGGGAAAGTAAGAAAGCAAGCCACCGGGTCCAGGACTTGAACTGCAGTAGGCCATGTGAGAGTGCAGCACCCTTAACTACCATGCCACTTGCCGGCCCCAGATTTTTCTTATTGTTCTTTAACAACTCCAAAGCAAATATTCATTTTTTTAATTATTTATTTTATTTATTCATGCATTTATTTTTTAATCTGACCAGAGAAGGAGGATGAGAGTGAGAGAGAGAGGAAGCGAGAAAGCAAGCCACCAGATTCAGGACTCGAACCCTGGTCAGCCATGTGGGAGTGTCCAGTGCCTTAACCACTATGCCACCTGCTGGTCCCCGCAAATATTCATTTGATAGGGATATTTTAGAGGAAAATGGATTAGTTAGAAAGTCACTGTTAGATTAAATAATAATAATAATTATAGTTGGGGAAAGTAACTCACTGCATTCTTACTTGAAAGGTAAGTGGATGGATTAGTAATTTCTTGAAAGTTTTAATCTCGTTAAAAAAAGAAAAACAGGGGCTGACAGGTGGCATAGAG